AGACCTCACCTAGAATACTTTGTACAGTTATGGACACCATAATTCAAGAGGGATATTGACAAGCTAGAGCGAGTCCAGAGGAGAACATCCAAAGTGGTGATAGGTCTGGAATAGGGAGCTGGGTAGGTTTAGCCTGGGGAAGAGACAGTTAAAGGGTGACAAGAGAGCCACATTTAAATACTGGAAGGGATATCATGTAGAGAATGAAGCAAGCTTGTTTTCTGATGCCCTGGAAACTAGGACATGGAGCAATGAATTCAAGCTACAGGAAAAGCTATTTCATCTAAACATTAGAAAGAACTTCATATGGTAAGAGCTGTTCAACAGTTGATCACACTGCCTTAAAGTCTTCTTTGGAGGTTTTAAGTAGGGGCTGGATAGTGGTGCTTTGTGTCTTCCTGCATGGCTGGGAGTTGGACTGGATGGCCTCTTGTGGTCTCTTCCAACTCTGTGATTCTATGACTCTATTATATTAATGTAAGCAATATATAAATCACTCTAGAAAGATATATATGTCAGATTAATGGCAAGTGTCACAGGAGGAATGCATTCCAAGGCACCCAGAGAAGGCAGGAAGTATGTGATGAGGATCACAGGCCAGCTTCCTTAGAGAAGTTTAGAAACCATAGGTACTTAAGATTCAGAGAGAGAGAGACAACAAATAAAGTAGCCAGATCATCAAGCAGGCTTTCTTCACTAAAGATAGATACCCCTCCCAGCTTTGAGGCACTGTTATAGGATGGCTCTGATCTATAAAGAACTTCTGCAGAATTTCACAGGACTCAATAATACTAGTGCAATGACTTTCCAATAAAGATTTTTCTACTGTGAAAAGACAGTGTTTTCCTAGTAGGCGTGTGCTTCTCCTGTCATATACTGGAAGAGTGAAACACATGAAAACTAAGATGTCTGCAGTTATTAATACACATCCATTTACTTCTCAGACAAAAGTAAGCATATCAGTGTTGTAGTCAAATTAAACATGTTTTTACAAGTTACTGCACCAAATTACAAAACAACTGCTGACTGCCCATGAACTTTCACAGAACTAACTGACATTCCCCCCATCTGGCTAAGGAGATATATACACATAAGCAGGCTACCACATGTATATCATTTATAGGATTGTGAAAGTTTCTTTAAAAACATGAGAAACAGAATAAAACTTCACATAATAGAGCAGACTCATAGAACAACAGGAGTGGTTCTGGGATAACAGAAAGATCAACATAATAATCTAAATATAGCGAGGGGCCATCTGCACACTAATACTGGGGAGGAGGAGGGAGAAGAAATTCTACAACCTGATTCTGATGCAAAAAAGGCTCTAATCCACATCCCACTGAAACCAGCCTAAGAATACTGTATTAGGTTTCATGTATCCAGGAGCAAAACTGTTTAAGCATTTTTGGTAAAGGCCAGAACCTTAAGCAGTGGCAACTGGTTTACAGAATTTGTATGTTATCTTGTTCTGTGCCTTCAAGTCATTTCCAACTTATGGTGACCCTAAGGTGAACCTATCATGGGATTTTCTTGGAAAGATTTGTTCAGAGGTTTGCCATTGCCTTCCCCTGAAGCTGAGACCATGTGACTTGCCCAAGGTCACCCAGTGAGTTTCATGGCTGAATTGGGAATCAAAACTTTGGACCTTTACAGACTGCCAGAAATAGTGCAAACTGAGGCCACTTTAACTGTCCTGGCTCAGTGATAAGGAATCATGGGAACTGTAGTTTATTGTGGCACCAGAGCGCTCTGGCAGAGAAGGCTCAATGTCCCAGAAAAAAATACAGTTCCCATGATTCCCTAGCACTGAGCCAGGACAGTTAAAGCGGCCTCAAGCTGCACTATTTCTGGCAGTCTATAAAGGCCCTTTGTCTCCAGAGTCATAATCCAGCACTCAAACCACTACGCCACACACCATCCGCTAAAACTTTATACAAGCTACAATGTTATTTACAATGATTAGTTGAAATTAGTTTTTTGTAACAGCTGCCCACCTAAATATTATTTGTGAATATAAGTATTTGCATTTTCTCTTACATTTAAACAACATTATTTGAAGTTTTTTCAAATAATAAAAACAACATTTATTAGCATTTGAATAACCAATTGTTTCAGTCACTTACATATTTTCCTTTCAGAGTTATCAGCCATCAGATTCCTCTTCTTAAGTGAATTTTTTTAAAAAATATTTTAAAAAGTAAAATTATGATTACAGTAACTTCCATTGTGGCAAAATCATCCATTCAAGTGCCACTTGTATTGTTTTTTGGTCAACACTGTCTCCTTGTACCCACAGGTGTTGTTCCTCATATGAGTAATAAGCTCTTTGTGAGTCTGCCTTTGAATCTTTAATGAGCTCCACATGGGGGGCTGCCTTTGAAAAGTGCTCAAAAATTTCCATTGGCCCAAAGAGCTGCAGCCAGCTTGTAAACTGGACATGGCTATAGGAAGCACACAACTCCCTTTCTGCAACAGCTCCACTGGCTGTTGATCCATTTTTGAGCATAATTTAAAGTGCTAGTTTTGACCTATAAAAATCTATATGGCTTGGGTCCAGGTTTTTAGTTGTTGGGGCTCTGCAGATGGCACAAAGTGCTGTCTTGGAGCCAGGGAAGGGGACGGGCACCCAGATGCTGGATGCCCCAACGTCATCGGAGTACCCATTGTTGCACATGGCGAGCGCTCTAATGATGTCCTCCCGGCCCAGCCTCTGCACAGGCTGAGCCAGAAGAGATGCGGAAGAGCTGTGCAATGGCTCTTCTGGCACCCCTTCTGCCCACTCTGGAAGGAGCGCTATCTTAGCAGGGATGGGCAATATGCAATCCACCAGATATTGTTGGACTGCAACACCAATCAACACTAGCCAACAAAGAAAATGGGGAGATGCAGTTCAATAACATCTGGAAGGCTACACTTTGCCTTCCTTTCCTGCCATAAGGTAAGCCAGCATTGCTATGCCTTTGAGGCAGAGAAAGAGTGTCTTAGCTACCGCTTTCTAGTTAATTGATGTAAGAAGTGAGATTCAGAACAGGGATTTTGTTTTGTCCCTAGCATGGCATAATGGTTTGAGTGTTGGGCTACAACTATGGAGACCAGGGTTCAATTCCCTGCTTGCCCATGAAACCCACTGGCTGACCTTGGGTAAGTTACACACTTTTTCAGCCTCAGGCAAAAACCCTCTAGCAAAATGAATAAATCTTGCCAAGAGAACGCCATGATACAGTCCCCTTAGGATCGCCATAAGTCAGAAGCAAATTGATGGCACACAACACACACACACGTATACTAAATCAGCTCATAAGAGACAGAATCAGAGTTCAGAAGTAACATTTAATAATTGACAATGTTATCCTATAGCAGTGGTGACAAATCTATAGCACATGTGCCAGAGGTGTCACTCAGATCCCTTTCTGTGGGCACACGCACCATTGCCCCAGCCCAGAGTTCACCACAGTTCGTCACTAGAAAGCCAGAGGGATACGGCATTTTGCGATAAATAAGTGTGTTTTGGGTTGCAGTTTGGGCACTTGGTCTCTAAAAGGTTCACCATCATTGTCCTATAGCATGATGCAACAGGGACATAATGTTGTTTTTACAAAATACCAGTAATAACTGATAATACTGTTTGTGTGTAATGAATAATGTTAAGCTATTAAAGATTAAATGCTATATTGGGTGGGAGGATTATTTGAGGACATTTTTTTCTGTTTTGAAGTGTTTTTTTTAATTTAATTCAAAAACTACTGAAAATTTGTTAAGTGACATCCTATTCAGCAGTTATGAGATTGTGAGATGGACTGAGGATTTATGTTTATGCTGATATAGTGTTGGGGATTCACTTTTAAGACTGCTAATGACTAAATACTACCCCCAAAACCTACCTTTGCAGTCTGATAGTGTTCCAACCAAAGCATTTTTGATGCACTGCACTTTGATGCACTGGGAAATGAAGTCTGCAGTGCACTTGCAGGCAGGGGGTGCCTTGAGGAAATTTGTGGTTGTGCATTTGTGGTAGGACACTGGGAGGTCTCTCCAGCTGCCTGTTCTTGGTGCATCCCTTGACTGCAAGTAGCTAAATTGCAGCAGCAGAGGGGCGAGATTTTTTGGAGAAGGGGGGGTTAGCATCATCAGATGTAATTACAATAATGGGATTCTGTTGTCATCAAAACTGTGGAGTCGCAGTTGAAGTTGTGTCAGCATTAGAAGCAACTTTGAGTGGATATAATATTTATATTTATAATATGACACCAATTATAATATTATAACAATATATGGGAAATTATAATATTATAATATGGTAAATGTATTATTTTATACTTATATTTTATCTTTTTAATTTATTAAATGCCTAGTTTGTTGCACATTTACTTTCATAGCAGTATAGGAGAGTTTTCTTGTTCAGAAATGTTAATCAAATACATATATTTTATGTTCTATCAATCTAAGTATTTTGATGATTCATGTGGTGGTGATGAAATGCCTTGGGCTACTATTTTACTACAGCAATTTGTTATTACTAATTAATATACACTTGCCACTTATGAAGGAGTCAGAGTTGGACAGCAGAAAAATAGAGAAGTTGAAAATAGAGTAGAAGTTTGGAGTACTGACTCCACAGCCAAGGTTGTCATATTTATGTTGATGATGCGGGATCTTGGCCAATGTGTTGCTAATGTGTCATTCATAAAGCAATGTATAAGGAATAGTGAACCACATGGCACTTTGGGAAAATAACAAATAATAACTGACATGCAATGGCTGTATATAACATATATGGCTCAGTGTAGCAAAACAGTTCTGTGCATGCAATTATGGTATGCTGTAGCTGACCAACACACATATACACACATGGCAACTTACTGCAGAGCCACTGCAGTGCCCCCCCCCCCACAGCCATCTTGTGTGGAGAGCCAGGGTAGACTGGAATCATTATATCACCTACTGAGGTCCCCTGAGGTCCACTGGGTAATGTAATCATTTCACATCTGGCTACACAAAGCTAGTGTGGCCTAGTGGTTTGAGTGTTGGACTACAACCCTGGAGTTCAGGGTTCAATTCTCCGCTTGGCTATGAAACCCATTGGGTGACACTGGGCAAGTTACTCTCTCTACCTCAGGGGAAGGCAATGGCAAACCTCACATGAACAAATCTTACCAAGAAACCACATGATCATGGTCTTAGGGTGGCCATAAATCTGAAATGACCTGAAGGCACACAACAACACAGACATAGCCAGACATTTTTCTTTTCATCTCCCCCACCCCCAGTTCTCCATCTGAAAAGAAAAGGCTATTGGGAGGGGCACAACAGCTCTAAAAAGTGGTCCCTCCACATTCACTGGGGTTAGGGGTGAAGGACCCCTGTGAATGTGGAAAAACCACAAATAAAAAAAGATTGTTATCTGTACCTAAGAGAACACCTCTCTAGGAATTTCCAAGTCCTCCAATGCAGCTCTATGGTCAGCATCTGCCAAAGGTTGATAGTAGAATCATGCTGGAGGACCTACAAATGCCTAGAGCAGTGTTTTTGCTAGAATGTCTAGGTTCTGCAGCACAGCTCTATGGTCAACGTCCAGCAGAATTTAGCTGGAGGACCTAAGGATTCCTAGAGAGAACATATTAATCAAAACCGCAAATAATCAAATTTGCAAAAGTCAAATCCGCAAATGTGGAATGCCAACTGTAAGTCTCAGGGAGAGCTTTGTTAGGTGCTAAGGAAGGAAGGGAATACTTATCTCCGCAGCTTGACTTATGTCTGCATATGCCACTAATGTAATATCAGCCAACAGAAGCTAAAGACCATTTTTTATTGCAACAAGTTTGGAGAACTGAAAGCTTTTACAGAAAGGGCATTTAACAGGGTGTTGTACTGCTTTCAATGCTATTGTTTTAAAAGTGCTTTTCAATATTTTTAATTGTATGCTTTAAATTGTTTTTAATGTTATTGACAATTTGATTACAATCTAATGTTAACCTGTTGTGTATTTTAGCTACATTGTATTTGTTTTAATTTATAAGCCACCCTGAATCCCAGTTCTGGCAAGAAAATAAAGATAAGATATAAATAAAGTAAACAACAACAACAGTTTTAAAAATAACACTTCAAACTCTGGACACAATTATGGAAACCATTCCAAGGGAGCACAAAACAATACAGTTTACAGCAGAATAAACAGGGTGCCAGAGGCAAGAGTTGATTTCCTGTATGAATAAGCATGAAGCAATACATGTTTTAATCATAGAAAACAGTCCTCTTTGCAGCAACAAACACTGGGTGCAGGAGACAGTAGCAACACAGCTACATGACTTCAAGACAACTCCTCCGTCTCCTCCAAACGAACAAGTCTAATTAGAACACAATAATCACTGCTTGTTTTTTCAGGCTTGTCAAAGAAACAGCATAAAATCTCCCAGGACCAAACTAGAACAGACACAGATCTGTAATCAGATTGCATGACATCTTTCTCCCTCTCCCTCCCCTTCTCTCTCTTTCCACCTAAAAGCAGCCATGACACCACATCAGATTGATGCTCTCTGATCCTAGAGGAGGAAGGGCTAATCTTTCCTTCCAAGACATTTTCCTTAACCCAAAACCTCTGCTCTGCAGATGATATTTGCCACTGGGGGGAATATATACAAGTGTCCTTTATGTTGTCAGAGAGCTAGCGGGCTGTAATGGTTTGAGTAATGGATTAGGATCCTGAAGACCAGGGTTTGAATCCCTGCTCAGCCATGGAAATCTCTTGGGTGACCCTGGGCAAGTCATACTCTTATCTCAGCCTCAGAGGAAGGCAAAGGAAAACTGCTTCTGAAAAAATTTTGCCAAGAAAAACCTGCAATACGGTCGTCATCTTACAGTAATCATAAGTTGGAAACCACATGAAAGCACACAACAACAACAGCAACCTCTGTGTGGTAAAAGAGAATATTAATTATAAAAGGCATCTCTCTTCTAAAATGTGTGTATATTCCATTACTGAGAGAATAAATTTCAACTCATAGGGAAGCATATTTA